GTTACTGCCAGCCTGGCCTTTACATGCAGAACATTATCTCAGGGAGCCATTAATCAAGGTTAAAAGGAGCTGGGGAAGCTTCACACTCGTCAGCCCTGTCCTCTGGTTGGGCAAAAACTCCCCCTGGCTTTCCTTAGTGACTGGTAAAGGAAAAAAACTCATGGGAAAAACTTCCAGGAGCAGCAGGAAAAGACCTTTCCTTGATCTTCTGTGCAAGGAAACACAGGATTGTAGAGTTACTGAAGAGTTAAATCGTGTTCCTTGCACACCACAGTGTGTGGAAAACTCCCAAGTACTGCAAATCAGAGCAGCTGGACGGGTTAAAAACGGTTCAATTCCTGGGCAAAATGCAGTTTTAGGTGCCCCAGGAGGGAGGGAGGGAGGGTTACCTGTGATGATGTCCTCGATGGCGCCGTCCTTGCCCTCGTACACGTGCCGGTTGTCCTTGACCTGCCGCCGCCGCAGCTCCGCGATCAGCTCCTGCTGCTGCCGCTTCGTCTTGTGGGAGGGGGACTGCAAACAGGGACAGGGCTTGGAGGGACGGACCTCCGAGCTCTGCTGGCCCCTGCCTGAACCTCACACACCAGCCTGGTGGCCACCAGCACGTGAGAACTGCTCTTCTCTCCCCGTTTCCCGAGGCTGGAACGCCCCTGCAGGGGCGTTCCAGCCTCGGGAAACAGGGAGAGAAGAGGGGACTCCCACCCCAGGGAGAAGCCAGAGAGGGACAACGTCCAGCTCGTGGATATGAGGACAAGACAACTTTCCACTTAGCCGCTCTTAATTTTTGCAGACTTCCAAAGCACAAACTTTTCCAGCTTATCCCAGCCCTCTCCACGTAAGGAGAAAACTCCCAGAGACCATTTCCAGGCAACTACAAGTTGGGCAACTGAATTCCCCCTCCCCCAGAGCTGAGGTTTCTGAAGCACCAGGAACGTGATCCCACCTGGGAGGTGTAGATGGGCCATACCTTTTGGTCCTGCTGCTCCATCAACGCTTCCTGCTCCATAAGTTTTTCCATTAAGGCCTGTTCCTGCTTTTTCCTCAGCTCATTCTCTTCTTCTGCTTGCTGTTTACGGGGAAAACCAGGGGTTAGAGCTGCAGGTGAGAATGGGATCCTAAATAGTGCCAGGGAGGAATGGCAGCAGGTGCTACTGAGGGGAGGGCAAGGGAGGGGAGGAGGAGGAAGGAGGAGGAGGAAG